CAAGTAAGTTTTCTGATCCTCCTCCATTTCTGACCTTTCATCCTCACTAGCCCTAATCCATCCTTAACCCTCACCACACCCTTTGTCCTCATCTCATCCTCTACTCTTACTCTTCCCAGCCTTGAGCTACACTGGAGTCCTAATTCCTTCCCTGAACCTCTCCCCATCTCTCACCTCCAGAGGTGGGAACTCCCAATAGGAAGATGTTCAGGGACAAAACAGTGAAAATGCCTGTTTCAACAATGCTTGGCAATTTTTAAAAAGCTGAAAGTTTAATGATTTCTTGGTAATAACTGTATCAAAACATTCCTGAGTCAAAATGGCCATACATAAATGCCCAGTCAAAATGACCTTGGTATCATAACAGTTATGTCATATCAAATAATGGCCAGGTGAAAATGTCAGGTGCTATGCCACTGGCATAATTAAACCCTAGAACTGTAAATTATAACTAATTCTATTCTAACAACTGCATATGCATTTTCTCATTTTACCCTTAAAATTATGAGGTAGGTGCTACTGCCAATCCATTTTACAGTTAAAAAAAAAAATAAACTGAGGATCAGAGAGATAATACCACACAGTAAGTCAGAAGGGTAGCTGGGGATAGAATCTATGNCATTTTACCCTTAAAATTATGAGGTAGGTGCTACTGCCAATCCATTTTACAGTTAAAAAAAATAAATAAACTGAGGATCAGAGAGATAATACCACACAGTAAGTCAGAAGGGTAGCTGGGGATAGAATCTATACAATCTGTCTCCAGAGTCCATGTACCTAATCACTAGGTTTAATACCTTCTGTTCCAAAAATTTGAAAAGTATCATATAAATATTTAGGACAAAAATTTACTTTAAAATGACCCTTAAAAGCAAAAAGATTCTCATTTTACTTTTTTAACTTGGAAAAGAGCAGGGCAAAATTCCACAAATAATGATATTTGTTCTTCTACCAAAGTATTAATATCAAAAAAAGAATTTATCAAATATAATTTTGGGCATAATCATATTCTGTGAATAAACATTTCACATTCTAATTTTCATATATTTAAACTCATATTATTACTTTTAGAGCTTGGAAACTTTTACTCTGCTTCTTCCAATCTTTCTAAATGAAATTATTTATTTATTTGCTTTCAGGAAACTGTCATTATCAGTTTGGGGGACCAATTTTCAGATATTATAATGCAAGAAATCATAAGACACCCATTTTCTGTAGTATCCCCTAGAAAAACCTCTTTAAACACACAGAAGAGAAAACTAAGCCATAGAATAAGAAAATCTCCTGTTGGTGACAGCAGATATTGTACAGAACAATAAAATTACACATTTTACAATTTATTAAATGTGTAATTCTAACAAAATATTTAACATTTTTTGGCTTTCTCACCTGAGAAAATACAGATAGTAACACCACAGGTTATATGGAACGTTTTGCTTTTATCCAACAATCTTCTGGTTCTCCTGCTTGGAACCTAAATAAAAATCATTTTAAATGATAAAAATAATGTACCAAATAAGATATATGTACAAAGTTTACAAAGTAAAAGTTTTGGAAAATATGGCAGAAGTCTATTAATCAAAAATTAGTGAGATTATGATACATGTGGTCAAGCCATTAAAGAGAATGTGAGAAGGCTATATTATTGATATGGAAAGATGTGCAAAGTCTGCTGTTAGGTAAAAAAGTCACAAAACATAAATTACACTATAATCCTATTTTGTCAACATTAATGGCATTAGTATGTTAGTGTACCTGCAGGCATTTACCTCAACCTGTTATCAGTAGTTGTTCTGGCAGAGTAAGACTAGGAGAAACTCTCTAATTATTTTGCATATTTCTGGAATGTTTGAATTTTAAAACACATGTGATATTTTTGTAATCGAAAAAAAGATTATTTTAAATGAGGCAATCTCATCTCTGGTTTCTGCTTGCTCTTATAGCAAAAGAAAATGTTAAGTATCTTTGAATATCTATGTTTCACACTGGTGACAATTCTTTAAGACTTATTAAATACTGAGAGATTTAGGGGAAATTTTTCGCTTCCTGCTATTATCTTCTTTCTTTACACCAAACCAACGGCCAGCCACAAGGATGAAAACCTAGTATTTTATAATAGTAGGCAACCTAGGGAAAAAGTTATTTCCACAAATTATTGCATTAAAAGGAACGAGTTTCCAGATATAATTACATGAAAAGACTGAGAAGTTTTACTTGAGAAAATCTGCACATATGATCTTCAAAGAACATTACAGCAACCCCGAGTTAACAACTTCTATTAAAATACTAATACTTATTCAGCAGTGCCTTACTATCTCAGTGAAGAATAAACATACACAGATACACACTTTCTCATACATATGCACAAGAATAACTGAAAAAAAAAGAATTTCAGTTAGTTTTAACAGTATTACTAAGTGTTTTTCGGTTTTCTTACACCCTTCATTTTACCACACTAAATATCACACAGACATCACTATTTAATCAGGACATCTTTTTCAAGCATATAACATGGCTGAAAATGGGTATGTGTGTTAAGCAGAGATGATAAGTTATCAAACACGAGCAATCATTCCTTGTATTGCTCAAAAGCCACAGGGCTCTGGATTGCTCACCTGAATTTAGCTAAGTTAAAATATAGTGTATAGGGGCCGGCCCGGTGGCGCACTGCTACAGTGCGCCGCTTGGGAAGTGCGGCAGCGCTCC